CACTAACACAAGATCCAATCTACTGGGGTTATCTACTTGCACTTTAAGTATATTGACACCACTGCAGTACAATAACATTTATAAACTTCAACTACAAAAAGCAAAGAAGAAAACCTTCTAAATACTTATCTCAGAGCTAATTATATACAAGTGATATTACCACACTTAATTCCTCCTCATTTTTATGACAAATCTGCAAAGGACAAGATTTAAAAAAATATAAAAAAAGGGGTAATAAAGTCACCAAGAGGAAACGGTATTTTACATATACTCTCTCCTAGTTTATCAAAATCTACATGTTCCTATCTTTGAATAACTGACAGAAACAGCAGCTGAGTGACACAAGTATACTTGCAGATTCTAAAAGCAGTTTGTAATTTCAAATACAATAGCTAGGTTTTATCCAAGCATCTGATAGGATTACACCCACTCCACAAGAGATTCTGTGTTGTTTCACTACATTTTCCTCCAATTGTCAGTATTGGAAACTTTGTATTTTGTTCCAAAGGAAATTATCTTAATATATCCCAATGATATCATCATTCTTTGAATAATAAAGAGTATCCTGTTCATATTTTTAAAGGCTTGGGCAAAAACCTCAGGCTTGTTAAAACAGTCTCTTAGAAAGCCCTTCCCAAAGTAATGAAAACAGTTAGGGTAACAGTTGTTAAAAAGTTCTGGCAGTGCTTCAAGAACACAAAATTGCTTATAATATTAACTTACATAAACTTGCTTACTCCAGAAATTATTCCTTTGATTTAAATGTGACATATCACATTCTTCTCAGTATTCTCACCCTCCAAAAATATAACTTCTTGTACAGAAATTACAGTTACAGCAACACAACAGATACAACCAGCATAAAACCCCGACTACAGAAGTATAGCTTATTCCTAAATAAAATTAACAATCTACATGAGTACAACTGCATGCAAAGATCAAAGTCTCCCCTATAAGATAACACAGGAAAGGGTTAATTTCTACGGAGATGCAAGTATTTAAGTACAAAAAATACAGGTAAAATAAGACTTCAGGAGTCATGTTTACACAACCAACATAAGGCCACAGCTTCATGCGTATTCAAGTTGGTTATGGCTCCAATTTTTCTATTGTTAAACTTTGACTTAATTATACTGTATTCTTTAAGCACCTGGCTTCACACCCATTTAGTTTCTTTCAACTAACTCAACCATGCATTTTAAAATTTAAATATGCAGTCAGAACTGCAGGCCCTGAGCCCAGACACCATGAGACAAGAAGGTATCATCACAATCCGTCTGAGACGTAAGCGAGTAGAGAAGAAAGAGTCTAGATAGCTACACAGAGAAAAGGAGCTTCATCATGTGCTGGACTGCTCCACTCCATCACTTAGAAGGGCTTATGAATCGTACACAACCAAAGCTGTGTGGTATGGACCCTGCTTGTATGCAGATTTAACCAGCTCTCACAAGCTGCCACTCTTCTTACCTTCACACTAGTATAGATCAATTACTGGGGGGAAATGAGAGAGGTAGGGCTGCTTCTTTAGGAGGCCTGAAGTGTTTGTGGAATTATAATGTAACATTACATACCAATTGTTCTTTCAAAGGCTGCTACTGCTGAACATTTGCTCCCTGCATATAACAGCTAATGGTGTGCAAATGACTGTATGAAGGCATACCCCAACCTATTAAGAGTTTCAACACAGCCTAACAAAAATATTCTGAGCTCTATTCGCATCACTGAAAACATTCCCTCATCTCTTTATAGAAGCTCAAATTTCACCCACCACTGCTGCGTTATGCTTTACATAGAAATAGATCACAAATCACTACCCACTTTTGAGTGGGTTTATATACATAAATCTTCCACTCTAATAAACTTCATCAGCTTTTCTAGATATAATTTAATAGAATTTAAAATAGTGTTAAAACACCCCTGATGGCTGGTAATTACTTATAAGGCTTCTGCAAGAGTCTGTAAGAGTTTATGTATACACACACAGGGAAATACATAGGCACGTGTACATATGAATGGGTACGCATGGGCAGCCCAGCCAATAAATCTCCTTTTCAGAATGTATTTATACAATTTCCACATCATACATATAACTAAAAAATTATTAATTTCTGCCAATGCCTGCAGTCAAAACTTGTGCTCGGGATTCCAACAGTCACATAGCTATTTGAATGATAATGACTCCTACCATGCCTAGGGACCCTCACAGTGATAATAATTGAGGTATCCTCCAGTTTTACTAATCTCCCTGATGTTTTGCATTGTTTTTTTTTAAGTCAAAGCGCTTTCTGAGACATCTCTCAAATCACCTTTATTCCTCATTGCTCTCTCTCTTCACCAAAATCAAGTAGAATGTGAAAAGGTTATTATAGGCATTTTATTTCAAATCTCATACTGTCAATCTGGCTAAAGCATCCAAAAAATACAAAAGATGGGTCAATTTCACTTAAACCAGAGTTCATCTGGCTAAAAATTTAGAGGTATTCATGGAAAAACTATATTATGCACTTAAAATGTTTGGCTATGGATTTTGTCATCCACTCTACTTCACATAAAACAGAAAGTTACAAGCCTACATTTGGATAAACTCCTTGAAGGAGTCTGGTAACAATGGTGGCAGAGATGGCACAAGATCACAGCAAATACACTGAGCTCTAATCCCAAAGAGAGGTGATTCCATGACTACCACTTCACTAAATCTTTGGTACATGCATTCCTAATGTGTTAATTTCGCAGGTTTAAACATTAAATTTTCATACTTGGCTATACTGGAAAACATTACCACTTAGATTTTAACTCTACTCAGGGAGTCAAGACCAAAACAGTTCCTGAAATGTGTTAGTGTTTCTAAATAAACATGCCTGGAATAAACATCCCCTTGAACACATTAAGTACCTACCTTGTAACCAGGTCATGTAGCATTCTCAGTGGGACAGTTCTCCATTATTTTGCCAGGTAAGAACAGAAATGACAAAACCAACCTTTTTTCCATTTTTACACATAATACCAAGACAACATTCAAGATGTATTAAAACCCCTGTAAACTGCCAAACTGAAGATGAAGATGCATCAAGTCAACACCATCCTCCTTATTATGCAGTTTCTTGAGACCTCGCAACAAAACTGGAAAAATTCTAACATCTTCAACTCATCCTGGCCATCCAAGACAGCTGTTAATCTCTGTATTTTAAAGCTATAATTCTTTGTAAAGCCCGGCTCTGAAAAATATCATTGAACTGATCAGGTAGAAGAGAACATCCTCCTACCCCTATAAAAGAAGGGTAAGTGGCACAGACAGAAGAAAGCAGCAACACGTATTTTTTTAAGCCTGCTTTATCGGAATACGTGGGCAGTAGGAAGCATTTCTGCTGCCATTCAGAGTTGCATAGAGGGTGCAGAACTGGGAAAAATGGTCCATTATGTTAGTGTTCACTGACATTTCTCAAAAATCTATTAGCATTAGTGATCTTAAGCAGATTCTTGCTTTTCCCCTTCTATCAACACAGGTACATTCTTTTATGTAATCAGGCTCACATGCCTGGTATTAATACACGTGTTTTCAGGTTATCAACATAGTAAAAAGGACAGATATTAATGACATCATCATAACCACTGTGACCTGAAAACCAGAAATGGTAAAACAGAATACTGCAGAATGAAACTGTTCTGGTCTATTTTTGTTTAATTTCTGACATCAGCAGAATTATTTGGCCTCAAAATACTTAAGTAGCCATTTTTAAATAACAACCTGCTCACAATGGTCCAGGCTGAATAATCACCTTGCACATGTGTTCATCTTGCCTTGCTCCCTGACAAATAATTTAAAAATGCAAGTTTGAGGTCATGGCAGTTCACCTACACATTTCAGATGACATTGCAAGCCTAGACAAACCAGTTTCACCAATACTCCCAGAAAGATCAACTTCCTACTACACAAGGTAAACCAGGACAGGGAACTGTCTTTTCTTCAGTTTTGTCATCCTTTCATTGAGGTAAAATTCCTTACACAGGATACACCATAAACCATTTTTGCAGTGAATTGAATTCCACATCCCCTATATATACCCTGTCAGGGGGACCTCAGTGCATTCTCAGTCATTTTACTGGGGACAGTGAGATCTAATGCAATTAACAGAAATTAAAATAAGATGGTCTGCTTGGAGGCCATTCAGGCAGCCTAAGCAGCCATCCCATTTATTAGATTTAAAAGCAAAATGCAACTAAGTTAGATACTGAAAATAAAAAAAAAGTTTTATGATACACCCATAGAAAAGACAGACTCTTTGGAATATCACCACAAATTCTGTAATCTAAAAGATTAGTCATGATAAGACCTAACTTTCCATTTCCATCATAATGTTACATTTGCTAAAATAATCCTGTCTAGTGTGTATTTGCACTGAAGGTTTTAGAAACAGCTAACATCAGCTGCAATTCAAGGTGTATGAAAGCCAACTAGGAATTCTTTGCCAGTGATTAAAGTTTCAAAAACACATCTAAATTATAATACATACATGCAAAAATTTCAGTCCCTTTATAAGATACTTCATTTGAAGCACTGCATTTTTTTATATTATTTTAAAAAGAATTAAACTGAAAAAATATTCTACTAAGAACAATTAACTTCTCCTATGTAAAGCTTATCTTAATATCCTAAAAGAATCCTTAATAAAAATTAGAAATACTGCCAATTTTACATTTTCTATTTAAAAAGTATAGCTGACTATGTTTCAAAAAGCATATGACTATGTTTCAAAAGCATACCATAAAAAGCTGTGTAATTGCCTTCCATAACATGACCAGATTCATCTTTGTAAAACATGCTGCTTGCTACACTGCCACTAGTACATTCCAAAACTGCATGAAAACTTTTAATTTCCATTTATAATCTTTTCCCAAAAGAAAAGACCTACATTCAAACTAACACTCTATTAGAAAAAGGCTTATAGCAACTTGGTACACTTTAATATTAATCAGCAGTAACCACAACTGGCTTAGTAGACATGAGTGTAAGTGAATTTATTCTGGGTCTAACATGAGAAAAAAAACAAGACAATTCAATGACAATGTCATTTCTAGAAAATACAATTGCTAGTCAAACAACTTCTTAGAAAGTACCTTAAAAAAGTAATCACTGGTTTGGTTTTGCCATTTTAGTTATATTTTTATAATAGTTTTAATGTTATCTTGAAAGTTTTCATGTCATCTAAAACAAGCTCTATAAAGAGATCCTTAGCTATGAGACATATGACAGTTTTCGCAATAGGTATCAGACACCAAATCTATCAATTTCATACAGGTAACTAAATTACAAATAATCATATCCTATGGGGTTTCCGATTCATTTACAGGATTAATTTTGTACTTGAATGCATGTAAGTTAAATACAGTGTAGATGTTCAGATAAATAAAACTGTCAAGGATAGGTGTGCACTGTTTCAAATTTGATGACTGTTTAAACTACATTGCAGAGATTTTTTAAAAATACTTACAAACTAAGAGAAATCCAGAAAAAAAGGTAAATGCTGTAACAACTACTCTTCTGTCAACTGCAGATGCTAATCCAAAACTCACCACAAAAGTTTTATCGCAGTACTCATCTACCCATAAACTTGTCATCATACGGGAGGGTTATAAATTATATCAGATGCAGAGTTAATTGGGAAGAAGAATAAATGTCTGAACTGCCATTCTGAGCTTTTCCCATGAAAAAGAACACACACAATGCGGACACACCCTTTCGCAAAAATAAGCTAATTCGTGGAATAAAAGGGAGATGAAGAAGTCAGAGTGCCCTCAGCTCAGGAATGCCAGGAATCCCCGGAGGAATGCGTACGGGCTGGCGGCAGCGGCACCCCCGACACACCTCGGTCTCGGCGGCCCGCGGGGGGCTCCTCGCCGACCGAGCAGCCCTTGGCTTCTGACCTCAGCGCCCCCCAGCCCGGCCAGTGCGCGGTCACCTAGAGCCAAGGCAGACAGCAGCACCTCCAGCTGAGGCACCGCAACTACCGCACAGGCTGGTACACGCACTTGGCGGAAAGAACCCCCGCTCTTCACAGCCGGGACGGAAAACTCGGAAACAGTCAGGTCTCATCGGAGTGTTTTCCCGGAACTCCCTCGCCCCTCCGCGGCCCATTCCGCACGCTCGCCCCAGGGGCGGCATAGCCGCCGCTCGCCAGCTCAGCTCCGAGGAACGCTCGGGGGGAAGGCCTGCCCCGACCCGGTGCTCCACCGGCCTCCCCGCGCGTTACCGGCGGTCGTAGAGGGAGAGCCGTGTTGCTCTCCCCTCCCACCAGAGAGAAAGCGGCACCCCCCTGGCCTTTGGGAAAGAGCGTGTTTAACGGAGCGAGGTGGAGAAGGGAAGCCACCCCTTCAGCTCGGGGAGCCACCTCCACAGCCGCAGGCGGCAACCCAACACGGCGACGTCCCCTGTGCCTGCCGCGCTCCGCTCAGGTCGCGCCACAGCCCAGTGCCGCCCGGCCCCGGCCATCTCTGCAGAGAGAAGACTGCGACGCGGTGCACCCCCACTCGGCGCCCAGAGCTTCCGTCGCAACCAGCCACCGCTCTCCCCACCCGTCCCGAGCCGCCTCACCCTGTGAGGGGGTTTCCAGTCAACTTCGTGCCCCTCTTGCCGTCGCCCCGCCAGGCGCGCTCGCCGCTGGAGCTTGAGAACGGACTGCCCGCCCCTTCCAGCGGGGGAGGGGGGTGCCGGAGCCGCGCCCGGGCCGGGCCGGGCCGGGGAGGAGCTAGGCGGGGGGCGCTCCCTCAGGTGAGTTTGGGGGCTGCCTCTGGCGCGCGCGGCGGCTTCCCGCCCTTTTCCGCCCTGACTGGCGACCGTTGAACGCCCTGAGGGGGAGAGTGGCGGGCGGGATCTCCTCAGGTTGGAGCCCTCCGACAGACACGTATAAACGGCAAACAGAGGGCAAAAACACCGTACTCCGCCTTTGTTCAGGCTGCGCAAACGGTGCCAAGACGAAAGGGGGTGGCTGGAACAATCTGCAGCAGAAATCCAGCCACAGGCCCAGGTACTGTCGTTAGCTCGAGGCCGCCTGACAGCGGGTTTGCTTTCCTCCGCGAGCGGGACCCGCCGGGCGCGGAGGTGGCTGGCGATGCTCCCGCCGCGGAGGGAAGAGCTGAGGCGGCAGAAGGACGCGGCAGGGCAGGCACGGGTTTGAGCGTGTGTTAGAGGGAAGGAACGAGGAGCTGGGTCGCGGCGTGCCCGTACTGCTCCGAGAGCAACGTCATGAGCACCTCTGGGCACACCTGAGCTCTCTTCACCGTTTGGGGTGATTTTTCACGGTGTCTTAAGTTAGATTGGAAACACCACAACAAGGTGTTTGTAGATTTCCAGAACATTCCACGTGTATAGTCAGGACTGAGCTGCTGCCGTAGGGCAGCATGACTCCTTCCCCTGACCCATGTGTGAAGGATAGGTAGCTGCTAAGGACACATGGTTTGCAAGTGACATACAAAACAATACAGTGACTATAAGCATGTGACCAGATTTGCTCCTTGGATAATTTCTTCTACCCTTTGAAATCTGTTCTTGAGGTCTGAATCGTAAAACAAGCAGCATTGTCAGAAAAAAAAAGGTGATAGTGAATATAACGGGGGGGGGGGGGATGACGGGAGACAGACACGACATGGGACAACAAAATCTTATGTATCTTCTTACAGAGTTGTTATACAGGAGAAGGATGGATAGGCACTCATCCTGTTTTAAAATCTGGCTGTGCTTGGTGGTCACTGCTCACATTTCTGCCTGCGCTGCTCTGCTACCTGTTACATGTTCTGAGAAAACAAGCCCAGTTAGCAAACACTATTGTATGGAATTGTATTATATATCATTTTATGGATTTTCTATAGAGAATGTCCCTGTCTTAATTAGGATATATAAACAGAAGGGGTTCAACTAGGAGAGCAGCTCTACCCAACACAGCACCAAAGTTGACACTTCTAGGGCACTGTGTCCAGATTTAGGTGTGAATTGGACAAATTCCATACGGTTCTATCTAGTGAAGTGATTGCAGACATCTAACAACGATTTCATTTGCTGAGAGGGTGGAACTATTAGGTGCAACAGGGGCTATAAAGGCTTCTGTTGTGGAAAAGCGCACCTCCACATAATGTGTTCGTTCTCCCTGAAAATGGACGTTGATAGGAAAGTCACAGATCTGTGAATTTTTATGCCCTTGATATTGGGTTGACCTGTCAGAAGAATGCTCATGAGACAACAGCCAAAATGTTACCATCTTGATCTTTTACAGACTTGACCATTTAACATTTGCTTTTCATGTATGCTATTTTCATATAAGCAGAGGCCATGACTAATCTTGGAGCTGTTTACATAAAAGATATATATATAGTTTGCTTAGCCCCTTTCACCATAGTTTTCAGAAAGCACATGGTTTTTACCCTCACCCCCTCTGATAGAAATAAAGAATGGAAAAGAAAGTAATTAAAACTTTCTTTTTTCTTTTTCTTTTTTTTTTTCCCCTCAGTTACATCAGCTTTGTGTCAAAGTTTCGTGTTGAATTCACAGACACGTGTATATGGCTGTATTTTATTGCAGTTAAAGTGTGAAGAAATATGTTGACAGTTGGTTCAGCATTGTAGTTTTGTAACTTATGAAGGAACTGAACTTAATAGAAAAAAAAATGTTTCATTTTGTAGTGTAGTGAAAGAGGTGTATACACTTATTTTCAGGTTGTTCTTAAGAGGTTAATTAAAACGGGTGCTAATCAGTTATGTTATACAACAATACATTTCCATTGCTTTTAGAAGCAAGCCAAAAAAGAACCCCAAACATTAAAGATTCATTTCTTGCTAAAACAGCTAGTCTATGACTACACATTGAAGTGAATTTTGACACTTTATTATAGCCTCCTGTTTCCTTGCAGGAAAGTATATGATCCAATAATCATAGTGTAACAAAAAAAAAAGTTGTTCTCACAGTATGTTATTACTTTCAAACACTGCTTCTAACTCATCTTTTACAATACATCTTGAAAATTTTCTAAAATTATTATAAAAGACTAGATACCTGTTGCTTAAGAAATAACGTTATCCCTATTACTGTATTCAGTAAGATATCGAATAGACATTTTTATCTCTTTCTTATATCAAGAAACATTCTTCAAAATTCACATCTTCTAATTTTCACTGACTTGTTTTCTGAAAACATTGTCTTGAGCAGAATGGTTACAGAGTTGATTCTGAAATTACACCTGTAAAATTGTATCTGTACCTCAATCATTTAAACAAACTTCAAGGACTTTTGAGTTATATGAGCATAACAAAGTACCCTTTTATAAAAATCGTACTACTTTGGCTATCCTAGAACACCAAGGAACAGTTCTATTTTAAGTATTAAATTTACTGGGGTGTAAATTTATTTTCAGAGGAGAGTTTGGGTCATTTAAAGAAATTTAATTTTATACTTTTACCAGCTGCTTTTTAATGTATGACCTCTGTATTTTAACTTGAAAGACAAATACTCAGAAAGGGAGGCCCTTAGTTTTCCACCTTTCTTATTTTTTCCTCTCTTTTTGCAGTCCCCTTCCTTCCTTTTTTCCTCTTTCTCCTTTTTCTTTTTGGAGGTAGCCCCTGTCTTTTACATTTGTCATCTCTTGTTCTCCTTTTTCTCTATTCTCCCATATACAACTGTCAGATGCACAGAGTACAGCCCAGAGCACCGAGTTCCCCCTATCTCTAACCCAGTTGCGCAATGTAGAGGCGTGTAACAATATTCTAAAAAAGCCTGAGTCATCCCAGCCATTAGGTATCTATTGAAGAACATCTTTACATTGCAGGAGAATAAGATGTGGTAAATAAAACGTATTAAAATGACATATGTAATTGTAGAATAAGAAATCAGCAGTTTTGGTTGTCTTCAACAGGGGAAAATACCTCTTTATACTTTATAAAAGTTAGCTTTACTGTTTTTAGCTAACCTGTGGAGAGGAAAAAGGAAATTAAGGTTTAAATTGTAACTTGTCTTCTATAGAATTTACTTCCATTTTATTTAGCTCAAGTTTACAAATGCTCTTCCTACTGAAGACTGTACAATTATTAATCTTATGTATGTGGGAATCAGGAGATCAGGAGTAAGATACAATATTCAAAGGTGTAAGGCGAGATGAAAAGTTTAAAAGCTGTTGAGGGGAAAATACGACACAAAGTTAGATCATATAATATGACAGCTTCAATATTAATTTAACAAATACATAGTCTAGTAATTAAGTGAATAATTTGTAGAGATACGAACTTCAGTTTAAGATTTTGGACTCTCTTCTACATCTAGCCACTATGAGAGTTTCTGACCTCTCATTCTTCTCCTTGGACAACTTTTGGCTATATCCATATTTTTTCCTTCATCTTAACAGCACAGTCTTGCTCCCACTAGCCTTATTCAAGTAATCCTAGCAATGACAAAAAGTTTTTCCAAAAACAGCCTGAAGAATCCTGGGTACTACTAAATACATCTACATTAAAGTTCCAGAAACCACTGTGACTTCTCTGCTGTGGTCTAAGTGGCTTGTCTTGGTCAAGTCCAACCTGCTAGGATTTAGCTGTGCCCATGGTGTTTTGGAAGTGGCATAGACTGAATCTGTTTTGCACAAATACATGAAGTTAGTAATTCGTTGGCATTGTCAATGTATTTATTTGAAGAAAGCTTAAAGGGTGCATTGTTTCAGTCAGTGCAAATGTAAACACTGATTAATTTATCACAGAAATAGTATGTAGTAAATTAAATGGTTCATATGCTCTTTCTGCATGTAGATCTTAAGAACTATTGTTATCTTTTTTCTATATATTGCATACCTATTTCTTATCTATTTTCTATACTCAGGAAACTTTACTAGGCATTGTAGAGCTCCATGAGAGACCCATACCAAAAAATGCTTTACAATCTAAGTAGACAAAGGATTTAATCACAAAAAAGACTATAGAATGTGCTATGCTGAAACCAAAATCATGTATCATGGCAAGAAAACGCAGAGGCTTTCTGAGTAATTTAACAGTTCTGTTTCTCATCGTAACATGCATATGTGTAATGGTAAGCAAATGTAAGCATTTTTTATGTATTTAAATTTTACACTTAGATGTTTGCAAAATTAACATCAAAATTCTTAAGATTGGCATCCAAAGATTACATCCTGGGGACATAATATATTCTGTCTCTCTCAGAAATACTAATTTCAAATCTTGTTTTACCTTTTTTGTAATACCTTTTTTTATTTAAGGTATCTTTCTTTTGTTTACAATGCATATCAAAGATTATCTTGGTTTAGGGTATGCAGGCAATTTAACGTATGTGTAGTGTACCAAGGAAGACAGTGTGTAAAATAAAATTAATATTTTCTTGGTTTAAACTGTGCTATTGATTAAAGATACAGCAGGACAAAGTTTTACTTGCTTTATTGTTATCTTTTTAGGATTTGCAGACATTGCATCATGTATTCAGTTTTCTTAAAAATGTGTGTCTTTGATGAGAACTAAGGCAAATATGCAGTAAAGAATTTAGGCTCCTAATTCCCGTAGAAATTAAGTTATTATAATAGGGAGGTGAAACATGAAATACATTCTTGTGTTTAGACCCAGATAACTTTTGAAACAGAGATAAAATCATCATTATCCCATGTAAAAATTTACTTTTTTTTCCTTACAGGCATGCATTAATTATTGATTTTTTTTTTTCGCCTTCTTCTACTTTTCGACAAAGATGAGGAAACTTTTCCAACCCTATGGAAATCTAAAGCAGTATCT